GACTGACAAAAACTATTGATATAGGTATGATATATGACTGCAAATAATCCAAATAATATAAGGGAAATATTGTAACTGTTAACTTGCTAGATGTCTGATATGCCACATTTATAATCCCCAAAATCAAAGACTGAACTCTAAGGAACAATAGAAGTTAAGAGTAGGAAATGTTTATTGAAGAAAAGATACTTCTGTCTAAGAGAGACACAAAGAGACCCAGAAAGTGAGTTCCGAAGACCCCACTTCTCAGGGAAAGTTGTATAGACAAAGTCACGAGGTAGGTACAAAATCTTGAGGTGGGTTTAAGGCGGGACAAAACTATGATCAACCAGTAAGACTGCAGGTATAGTTGCTTAGGTAATATTGACCAGAGGGGAAACAAGTCATACAGCAAGTGTGCATGGGAAGAGCAAAGACCTTCCTGGACGGGATGGGTCAAGGTCCTGGTCCCCCACTCTGAATGACGTCTACACAGCTTATAATACCAATCATTATTGTTTATCCTAGGGAAGTGAGTAGGTATAATAATTCCATATTTCACTTAAGGTCTGGTCTTCAGTGCACCTCCACTCACAGTTTTAATGTGCTTTCATCTTCCGTACTGACTCCTTCCATGGCCCAGCCTATAATATTTCTAACTTAGCTGTCTATAATAATATGATATATCTAAATTTAAAACGAAATTATTTTAAACTAAAAGACAATGGCCATCAGTGCCTCAGGATACTTCCCTCTTGCTTCAAACATACTTTATCCCATTGCTCGTCACTTTCGGAAGCAGTTCCTGAAGTCCTCTTGTGAGTGTCATTATGAGGTGTGATAAAAACTACAGTGAATCCTGCTGCCAGACACTAATGGAAAAGGCAGGCTTGTAAAAACACTACAGTGTGTGTCCTCATCTACCTTATTTACTGAACCTGGCACTAGGAAACTTCTGGCTGTTTGTCCCAAAGTCAAAGTGACCTTGACAAGTAAATGTTTTAAATCCTTTGATTAAGACCATGGAAGTATCCATGACCATACAACTAAAGACATTCACAAAAGATCACTTCCAAAGCTGCTTCAGATTGCAACAAGAAGAATAAGTAAGTGTCTGCAAAACAAGGGGGTTATTTTTAGGAGAATTAATTGCAAAGCTTCATTTACTGTTATGAATACTACAATTTAAACATTTACCGTACTTTTGATCACACCTCTCTGAGGCTACCCGCACTCCTAGTTTTTGGTTTTTTTCTGTCTTATTTCTCCTATCTCTTGTAACATTTGCCAAATTATTGCAGATAAAAATACTAGGTATCTCATGTTTCCTTTCTCTTTGAAGAAGAAATTTACGATTCTCAATGTCTCCTATACAAACAACTTAATGATTTCCCTTAACTGCAAAGAGATGCTATGTTTAATTATGAAGAAAAGGGTGGTATCAAATCATGATGTTAATCTCCGAGGCTTTGAAAATATGCAAAAGCTCTTTTTGAATCTTCATTTTAAAAATATTCCTGTAAAATGTTATAAGGTTCCTCCAAAATATGTAGTCAAAAAGTATAAATATATCATTTTTGTATTGTTTATTGCAAAAAAAACTTGTCCATTTTTTTCCTTTGTATGGATAACTTTCTTGACCACCAGACTATTCTAAGTCCCAAATGAAAAACTGACACAAAGTTTTGAATGTAAAGGCATTTATAAAATGAGGCAAACTCAAATGAGATACACTCATTTAAAATGGATAATGTAAGTAATGTGTATTATATAAATTGAAAGATGGGAGATAGGAGTGGTGACAGCCAATTATAAGTTTAAGAAAACTTTTTGCACAGGAGTAGAACTTTATCTGGACTCCAGAAAATATTTTTGCAGTAGCGGGAAGTTGAGAGGGTAACTTGAATTGGATAAAGAATGTTGGCAAAGATGAATATGGGAGACATCTTATGAAAGAGAGAGGAAGACATTAAAAATACCAGTATTGGGCTATTTGTGGGTGTTTTTCAATACCACATTGAATATTTTAGTAGATTTTCTCCATGAATAATGGGAAACTACTGAAAGTTTGGAATGACTATAATGAATCTGACAAAATTGTGTTTTAATTTTGCCCTGGCTGGTGATGTAAGAGAAGTTAGAAGGCAAAGAGACTAATAGCTGCTCACTTATGATGCCATGTGAGATGTGTGAGATGTCAAAGACCAGAAACAATGGGGTGGGAGTGTATTAAGCAAGGGGAACTATGACAGAACCTCAAATACAGCACAACATAATCTTGATATAATAAAGAACATGAAGAAAGACAATGCATCTGGAAGGGTTCCAGCTGGGTGGCTGGGAGAATAAAGGACACTCCAACAACACAAACAGGAAAGACAGAATGGAAAATTGTTTGGATACATGGGAAGAAGAAAAAAGAACATATGTGCATGCAGTTTAGTGCTGTCAAAATAAATTTAATAAAAGCCATATATGTCATTTGACATTGAATTGCAATCACCTTCAAAAGAATACATTTTAAAATTGTGTTTAACCATACTTTGCCCTAATATATTCAAAATCCTATCATTTTAACATATAAGCAATATGAACAGTATGAATGAGATAGCTTAGCTTCAATTTTTCATACTAAAGCTTTGAAATCTGGTACATGTTTTATGTTTACACATATTCCCTTTTAGCTACATTTCAGGTGCCTAAGAGCTGTGTATTTCTGATGGCTAACATACTGACCAGCACATTCCTATGCTACTTAATAGACTGATAAAAATTATTTAGTAAATTTCTTATCTAAGCTAATGCTAAGACTCATTGGATTTTGGAAATTATGATTCTTCATGTGCCTCCTTCTCTCTTCTCCTTTTAAAATTTTAGCTATTTCAGATTCAAGTTTCTTTTTTCTAGTGCATCATTCTTTTTCAAAACCACCATGATTTTTAAAAATAACCAGGATATATTAGTTCATTGGCTGCAGTTGCTGCTGCTTCATTTAATTCCCTGACTTACAACTGTAATTAAACAAATCAGCCTGAACATTTTTCCTTCTTTCTTGGTCAGTCACAAAAACTTGGGATTATGAAATAATTTAGCAATGTGTCCTCAAAAACTTCGGATAAATGGCACTACGTAGTGGGGAAATGAGCACTACACTTTTCATGTTTCCTTGTCTGCATATTTTGCTTCTCTCCAGTGTTTAGTATCTGACATAAACTTGCTGGATTTTTGGTCTTGAATATATGCTGAAGAATGTAGTACAAAAGGAAGCCTACTTCTATAGAAAGTAAGCCAAGAACATTGTGTTCCATCTTTACAATGAAATGCAGATTTCCCATTAAAAGGCAAATCCATCATTTCCAAAAGTTGAATAAGATGGTGCATTAAAAACACCCAGCTGCTTAAATTTAGGGCATTGAAAGGCTTCTATTAAAAAATGTTCCTTGGGTCTCAAGCATTTTCATTTGATTATATATTGGACAGGTTTTCACTCAATCTAGAATCTGGCCTCTTAGAAGAGTTTTGTCCTAAAGCAGTTTGACAAGTAAATGTTTTTAAGTAAATTGGACTCAACTATGGTATTTCATTTACTTAAATATTTTGCTAGTTAGAATGCATTTATGAATAAATTATTAACATTTTACAGGAAATACTGGAATTTTCTTATAGTGTTTGCTTTCTCATGTTTTCCCTGTGCTCCCTCTGTTCCTTCTCAAGGCTTTCTGCCAGCACGGCCATTTTGTTCTCCAACCAGCTTTCTCCAACTGGAAGGAAATCATCTGCTTCACTCTGCCTTATTTTTGTAGAGTGTCACCTTTTTGCTAACCTAATATGCTCTGCCCTACTTTTTCCTAATTGAGGAGTAAGAAATCATAAGCCCAGTGATATTCTGTGCAGTACAAATAGTACTCACACAGCTGGCTTGGGAGCACATAAGAATTCTGCTCCATGTTGTTGAGCGTTAGTCACGAATTCTCAAGGAGGTGGTCTCTACACGGGAAGGTCAGCAAAGCTCATGCTAGGCATATTTGCATGATGCACGTACTTCTCATAGGCATTAACAGTTGTTTAATAAATGTGACAGCTGTACATGCTCTCCTCTGATACTGCTCTTTCTCATCCAGAGGATCACTGTTTCATAACTGCTTTGCTAACATGCCCCTGATAGTAGGTATTTACCAGGTTTATTAAGTAGACTATTTGGCTTGCTACTATTGTATAGGTTGTTAGACATTCATACATGTGATGCTATTGCTCCTGAGCCAGTTCCTAAAAGTAAATGTTTCCAGTGAGTCTGTGGCATTCATTATGTTCTACTAATGCCTTTTGATCCCAGTTCAGACCTTACCTTTCCAATGTCCATATTCAACTTGAAGAACTGTTAAGTTTAAAAGAGAACTTGTTCTAGTTAGTAATGGTGTACTTCTAATGGGCTCCCCCCCCCAAGAGCTCAATAATTTTATGAAATTTATGGAATGATATTTTTTCTAGCCTTATTATATGCTTGACCCAAACAAGGTAAATAGTTTCTGTTCTTTATCACAGTCTATGGGGGGCATTTTATACGGGGGTCCTTGTGCCTCCACTCCCCTGCCAACCCTGGCTATCAAAACTGCTTAGGCTGCAAATAAAACATGAAATGCAAGCCATCTGGCGTTTCTCATTGAATTAGAACCAGAACATTTTTGTTAAATATTAACAGATGGCTAAATTCTTAATATCAAACTAACATTTAAAAATATCTAAGGGGACTCACATGAGGGGGAAAGGATAGAGGACCATGTGTTTTCTCCATCAATGAGCCCTTTCTGTATATTTCCCTCTCCCACCCTCAATTTTCCAACTCATGTACTGAGAATCACTGGACTTTCCTATATCCAACAACTTTTATTCCTGTTGGTAGCTGGTATCAAAATAGTGTTTGTTGGTATCAAGGTAGTATAATCAAGTGTTAGTCATCTGGTGATGTGGTGCCATTGGCATGTTTCAAGATCTCATATTCTTTTCTCTCTGTCTTATAATAGGAAAAAGAAAAGAAGTACATGCTTCCCTTGGACAACCTCAAAGTTCGAGATGTAGAAAAGAGCTTCATGTCTAGCAAACACATATTTGCCCTCTTTAACACGGAGCAAAGGTAAGAAAATAAAGCAACTCTGCATTCATATTTTTTCCTTGAATTTTTATGTGACCCAGAGATCAGACTGACAAATAGTTCCTTGCTTGCACCTTGAATTTTGCCAGATCTTTGTTTTTGCTTTCATTTATTTTGTATTTTTAACCTCCACAGTGAGTTATGGCTTTCAAAGATTAAAAGATAATAACAAAGATCTTCAAGAACTAATTAATTCCCCAGAAGGCACCAAAAGCACACTGCATCTATTCTTAAAACTACACTTTACTACCTTAAAGGCTTCCTCATCCTTCTGTATGTACTTACACATTTCTTAGTGATTATCATAAGTGTAACAGCATCTGTCTAAATGAATGGATGCCCCTACAGGTTATAGCTAAATTCAATAGATAGAATCATTCCATTGAGGTGAATAAAATATCCAGAACCAAAGCACCATCCATATTCATTGTTTTTTGGTTTTTGTAACCAGTGCGCATGAGGTTAAAAAGGCAGAATTCTAATAGTGAAGTCTTGGAAGGGGCTTATGTGTCCACCAGATGAACAAATAAAGAAATATGGTGTTTACACACCGTGGACTACTACTCTGCCAGAAAGAAAGATAAACTTGAGTCATTTGTAGGAAAACAGATGCCCCTGACACCATACTGTTACATAAAATAAATCAGACACATAAAATTAAACATCACCTGGTTTCTCTTATGAGAAACTCAGAGTAAACATAAAAGGCAAAACAAAAGATAGCAACTAGGAAGTATGGAGATAGATCTTTCTGAAAGGGGAAGAGGATCAAGAGATGGAGGGAGAAAAAGGAATGAAGATGTGTTATGTACGTGTACCAACTACTCAAGGAATGTAAACATTATGTACCGCAGATGTGGACTAATAAAATAAATGAGAAGGCCGGGTGGTGTGGTTGCTTTTAGGTAGAGGTACTGACAAAACTGACTTTCCTTAAGACCTCAGGGGAGCTGGAACTCAAATCAGGACATTGTCTAAGTGCTTCTATTCATACCTCCTCCCTCTTTACTGTTGGTCATGCACAATATCAGTCATCATGGAAAACAACAGTTGTCTATTAAAATGAATCAACACAGTTAAGTAAGCAAGTAGAGAAGTAATAAGGTGTAGGATAGAGGTTAATGGGCTACAACTAGACATAAGCAATAAAAGCAATTTTTTTCCCAAGTAGACATGTTACTGGAAAAACCTAATTTGTGTATGTTACTAAGAAAGTGAGTCAGTAGGTGGCAGGGTCTAATTTTAACCCATGTTTCCAGGCTGTTTTATCTTTATTTAGCAATGAATGAAATTGCTTGATTAGGTTCAGTGATGGGCCCAAGGTCAATCACACAGTTAATCAAAATAGCCAAAGACGACTTCTTTCTACATTCCCAGTCAGTTGCTCAGAGTGACTCATAAAACAAAAATACTTACAAAAACCACAAAAGCAAGCCATTTAAAGCATCAAGGAGAAAGAAAATTAAATGCTTCTCTCCTACCAAATGCTGAAGTGGGCTTTTTAGAAGACTTAGTATGGTTTGAGAGTAGCTTGTTAAAAACAAAAGCAAGGCAAAATACTGAAAATGGCCAAGAATAAAAAAAAGTTTCTTTGAATAGTAATAATTCTGCCATCGATAGCCAAATTTGGTACTGTTTGTGTGGTTTCATCAGAGTAGATGGAATCAAGAGAGCCTACCATTTTCAGGAGAGGTAAACTGAGCCTTCTTGCCCCAAGGCAGAGTGGGGCAGAAAACAGGAACTCAAACCAAATCCAATCCTTGGTGAATGTGGAGTTCCGGTCCTGCAATGGTGTGACAAGTGGCAAGACAGCAGTGCAAAGGCAAGACAGCAGTGAGGCATCTTTTTGGACAAAATACAATTGCAGATTATAAAAAGATTAAGTCACCAAAATAAGGAAACAAGATATTCTGGAATCATAGTGTTCTGAAAAGGTATTCATCTCTTCAACTACTTCTCAGAAACTGTGGTGAAGTCATGGATGTCCTAATAGCTCTTTTGACATTATTTTTTCCTTCGAAATTTGATTCCTTTAAATTGTTTTTATGTTTTCTAGGTCCTTTAGTGCAATATTGAGCACTCACGGATATTGTTGTCGGTTTCTAAGTTTAAAGAGTGTTATTTTAATGATTTTGTGATTGAATATGTTTAAATAAATAATTGATACCAGGTGAAGAAGTTTCTTTGTGTTCCTAGTTACTAAGGTTTCTGTTTTCATTTGCAAATCATGGATGGGTGTTGAGTTTTATCAATACCTCCGCCTAAAAGATTGATCTTTATTCTTTAATCTGTTTGTGTGGTGAAGTTCACTGATAGACCTTCTAACATTAAACCATCCTTGATCTACTGGGATTCAAGCTAGTTACGTCATGATGTAATGTTATTTATTATGCATTTCTGGCTTAAGTTTAAGTGTTTTTGGTCAATGTTCATAATAGAAATTGGACCATAAATGCCTTTTGTTTTGTACTGTCTCTGTCTGGTTTTAATATCAGCTTCTATTAGCTTTATGAATTGAGGTAAGAATAAATCTTTTTTACTAAATACTGGTATAAAATAAGAATTAATTCAGTTCAATGTTTGGTGCAAGCCACTAGTAAGATAATCTGGTCTGAAAGATTTTGTTTTGTTTTTTTTTAAGTAGGCTTTTATCAAGTGATTTAATGTTTAGACATTAAAGATTTTTTCAGATTTTCTGTTTTCCCATGAGTCAGTTTGGATTTTCTATTTTCCCATGAGTCAGTTTTTTTCTAGGGAATGCTTCACTTTATTTGTTTTAAAATATACTAACATCAAGTATTTCTTAATATTCTATTTTTAAATTTTTCTGCTGTATCATTTTTTTCCAGTATTAAACCTTATCTTTTTTCTTCCTATAATCCCCATTGTTAGAATTTCGTCTGTTTTCAAAGAAATGGGTTTGACTGTTCCCTTCTTGTTTCTATTTCAGTAATACCTGGATTTTTCATTATTTCCTCCCTCTTTCAATTCTTTGTGGTTTTTTTTTTTTTTGGTCACTTTTCTAATTCTTTAATTTGGATGAATGGGTAGTCAATTCTTATTCTTCTGCAATATACAGATTTGCTTTTAGCTGGTTTTTAACTGCCTACCAAAATTTTTGAAATGCAGTATTTTCATTATCATTCTTTTGTGTTTCCTGATCTTCATTATAGATTTTTTTGGAGTTACTTAAAGATGTTTTCTCGTTTAATAACACATAAAATTTTATTACTTTATTGTTGTTTATGTCTAACTTAGTTGTACTATCCTCAGAGATTATGATCCAATACATCCTTGGTTTTCATAAATATTCCAAGTACATTGGAGAAGAATATACATTTACTAATCTGACAGTTCCAGTTTCATGAGAGTTCATTTGGTTATGCAGTACTTATTAACTGCATTATCTGATCCCCATTGTTACTTTTTAAAATCTTATTTCAAACATTTACAAGTAAGTACTTAACCACTTACCAGACTAGTTATTTAAATACAAGATGACAAAATATTGCATATTTTCATTAATTCTAATAAGATTACATAACAGGAAATATCAAAATAATGATTTTATCAGATTTATTCAGTGATTTTTCTGTGTGTGGTATATTGTAAACCATTCAATACACATTGCATGGACAGTAGCATGTAGTCTCTTTCTGAATTCTTTCCTAATTCTTATTCTTTCTTTGAACAACACACTTTACACTATCATGCTCACCCTTTCTTTATTTCTGAGTGACATTTGTAGTGTAATTTAAATAAAGTGCCCATTGAACTAAATGCAATGGGGAAGACTTTGATGATGGTCATCCTGGTTGGTATCTTGCTATTTCGTATGTTTCAATTATTTAGTCTAGTAGATATAATCTAAATTTTAAATGACTTTTTGAATCCTCTTGTTTTGAATAAGTAACAAATGATTTTTATATTGTTTGATCCAGACTATGCATAAATATAATGTTTTCCCTTGCCTTTTGACTACAGGATAGATTGTAAAATATTAGTCACCTATCTCAATGCACCCATAGATATACTATAATTATTTCCCACTGTGGGAAATTTTTGAGTTCAATTTCTTCTTTTTAAGTTCTATCATTTTTGTATTAGGAGTAGTTGAGAATAAAGAGTCATCTTTTTTGTCTTTCCATTTCATAACACAGACTTTTCCTTTTTGATATGCTAACATTTCTCCCTTTTCAGTTTTTTCTTTCGTAGAAGTCTTGGCACATCCTTCTTATTCAGTCTCACTACTGTGTTCATCTTGTATTGTAAAAGAATACAACTGAATTCTGGTGAACTATAAAAATTGTACTTAATGTACTCATGATAAGAGTTTTTATAGATTATAGCATAAAGTTATGTTATCTTTTGCAAATAAAATAAACAACCAGAAATTATCATTAGATTTCACTAGAAACAAACATTAAAGTGTGTTTTATTTTTTTTTGCTACCAGGGATTGACCTCATGACCTTGCATTTGCCAGGGAGCCGCTTATACTACTGAGCTAAATCCCCAGCCCTAAACATCAAAGTGGATACAATATTCTAAATAAACAAATATGAAAAAAATAGTCAATATAAAACCAATCAATATTCTAAATAAAAAAGTCAATATAAAACCAATCAACAGAAGTATGAGTGTTATATCATGCAGACAAAAATCGACTGGTTAAAATGTCACTTACCCAAGCAATGCTTGGGACAGTCAGTTCAGTATGTAAACAAACACACTGCCTGAGTATGTGGTTAGAATATATCAGTGAATGAAATAGGCAAATGAGCAAGTATTGCTAACGAGGTGAATGGGCAGGGAAACAGAAAGAGTTGTAAAGGATCTTTATGAGAGAACTTTGGAAAGCTCACTCTTTCATGATTATAAGCTTCAATATTTTCACAAGTATTTTGGTTTTTGCCCTATATATTTTGAGGCAAATGTATGATTTTATATTCTTACAAATGTAGAACTTTTGATGCCTTAATG